CTCTGAGATCGTCCCGATAGAAAACTCATGATCCAATTGATGACGCTGTTGGGAATGTCCAATTGACGAAGTTTCTCAATAAGGGTAGAGTGGTCTATCAAATCGAAAGCTTTCCGATAATCGAATAACAAAACTCTAATTTGTTTGCGATGTTACTCTGAGTGCATATCCACACCGGGCGAGCTTGAAAAATATGCCCGGCCACGGTGGGATTCGAACCTACGACCTTTGGAATACTAGCCCAATGCTCTTCCAACTGAGCTACGCGGTCAGGACGGTAGCTCAGTTGGAAGAGCATTGGGCTAGTATTCCAAAGGTCGTAGGTTCGAATCCCACCGTGGCCGGGCATATTTTTCAAGCTCGCCCGGTGTGGATATGCACTCAGAGTAACATCGCAAACATATTATTCACCTGAGTACACAACACCAACACAGAAAAAAAAAACTCTAATTGTTGAGCCAGTGCCGTCAGACTCTTTTAGCCACTTGTGGACCATGCTAATTAAGGCCATAACCGTTTAAGAACCTGGGATTGTTCCAAATTGATTGGGATCGATTATTTTGGTCACAGCAGGTTTAATGTAATCAGCTACAATGAATTCCTCGGCCACTTTTGATAGAGAACAGGTTAAGGAAATTGGTCTAAGTTCCGATTGGGGGTTCGTGACACGTTTGACTTTGGGAAGCGGGCATACGTCAGCCAATTTCCAAACCCTTGGAAGACTTTGGTCCTTAATGTTACAATATATATATATATATATATATATATATATATATATATATATATATATATATATATATATATATATATATATATATATATATATATATATATATATATTGTAACATGGCAGTGTTATACCATGTTATTTAATATATTCAATACTCTATTCAATACTATATATTCAGTATACTGTTATAATTATAAGAGGAAGACCTTAGGCAACCTTCCTCGCATGAATAAGCAAATATTTAGAGAGATTAAAGAACCACGGGAAACGCCTAGTACCACAAACCACGCAAACAGGACATAGTTTTGTGGTTGATAAACACTGCTAGAACTTGCTTTGACAAACATATTGCGTAGAGGAAATTAGTCATAGTTACAGATTTCTTCCTCTAAAATTTATTATAAAAGCTGGGCACAACCTGAGAGTCGAGAGCGGAGAGTGAAGTGAGAAGAGCCATTTAGGGTAAAATACTTCATAAGCCAACAAAGGCTGAAGTATATAATTAAAAGGCTGGATAATTAAGCCTCGTCAAGTAAACTGAAGAACATTGGAATATTGTGGAATAATTATTATTAAAGAAGACGGAATACAAAGTATAAAGAATAAAGATTCAAAGTTGTGTTCAGCTTAAACAAATAGAGAGATAAGTTGATATATTAAGATTACTATATTATTATAACATTATAGAGACGCTAATTCATATTGTTGAAAGTAAATAAAATATATAAAAGGTATAAGGTTTCATGCTATTTGTGTTACGGTAGCGTTAATATAATTTGAACCCGAAGCCTAAAGGTTGAAAATATACCTAATTGGAAAATATATTTGACGCATAAATAACGCACCATAACAATATATATATCTATATATATATATATATATATATATATATATATATATATATATATATATATATATATATATATATATATATATATATATATATATATATATATAGCCCAAAGTTAAATATTACAGTCAGATATCTTATCCATTGCTTTACAATAGCAGTTTTTTTTTTCTTTTATGGGGTGTCACAAACGCACAATTACAATCCGTAATTAGCATAACTAAAAGCAATAGCTGAACCAAACATGAAGTAAAAAACGGTTGAATTTGTTTCCTAAACAAAGCAATTATATACAGCATTGCAGTAAAATAGTTTCATTTATATTATTTGCGGATGACACAACGATATCTCAGAGTAACAAATGTCTTAAAACATTAAATGAAATTATGCAAGTAGAAATTAATAAATGAATGGTTAAATATAAATTAATTATCTATAGATACTTCAAAAACAAAGTTTATTCTATTTAGATCTTATAACAAAAAACAGAATTTTGATGTAACAATAGAAATAAACAAAGAAAAATTAAAACAGGTAAAAAATACCACATTCCTTGGTATTGTTATTGATGAATGCTTGACATGGAATGAACATGTGGATTTAATAGCAAAAAAAGTTATTAAATATTAAATCTGCTGGACTTAACGGCAAAAATAAGACATTTTACAAATTTAAATGCTCTTAAGTTTATTTACTATGCTTTAGTCTATCCATATCTTATCTATGGAAATATAATCTGGGGTAATACCTACAAAAAAAGAATCCAAAAACTTATAAATGTTCAAAAAAAAATTGTGCGCCTTATGACTTTCAACTCTTATTTGGCACATAGCGAACCAATCTTTCAAGACTTAAAAATTCTAGATATTTATAAAATTAATGATTATTTAATAAGTTTATTTATGTTTCGAGATCACTATACCAAAAATCTACCAGAGGTATTCATGATTACTTTGTGACCAATGATCAAATCCACCAACACAATCATGGGCGTACCGGAAGGAAAAATTTAGGGGGGCGGAAAGAAATTTGCCCAACTTTTTCGGATTTTGCCCGACTAAAAAATTTTTTCCCCGAATTTATTTTGGCGACCTCCCTCCCCCCCTCCCCCCTCCCCCCGTCGCCAAAAAAAATTCGGTCAGTGTACCATTTTAGGGGTCAAAATTTTTTCCGGACACAAAGGACATACCAAAATTTTCCGGAACCTAACAAAATTTTTGGAAACATCACAAAATTGACCACAAAATTTATAGAATTTGTCTCATTTCTTTTTTTAATACACCAAAATTGCCCGACTGTTCAGCAAATACGTCTGACTGCTACAACTGGCTACCGCCCCGCCCGGTACGCCCACGAACACAATACAAGAAATAAAACACAACTCCACAAGTCATACAAAAGAACAAACTATGTAAAACATACTCTTTCAAATAAAGGAGTCGATGTTTGGAATAGACTTGAATGTCGTTTTAAAAATGTCACTTCTCGTAATACTTTCAAAAATACTATAAAAGAACACTTCCTTCAAATATCAAGTAATTAATCAAATTATATGTACAATGTAACACTTTATGCTGTAAATAGCTTTCACATTTTCTCTCTTTCTTTTCTTTTAACTATAATACTTATTGTAATATATTTTAAATTTGGTTGACTGTATAGTCTGTAGTTAGAACTAGCATCTAAATTTTATATATATAGGGGTCTTAAATAAAAGCCTGTTAAGGTTTCTGGTAAGCCCCTACCATAACATTAATCTATTTTTTTTTAATGTAAATATTTGTATGTTATAATATATGGGCAATATAAAGAAAAAAAAATTATCAAAACATACCTTCGAAATGAACGAGATCTTCAGCGCCAAAAAACTCGATATTTTTAATTTAAACAACTTTTCACCAAAATCACAATAATTGTGAATAATAATGAGATGCAATGCATTGTGAGAAGACCCTCATTCCTCCTCCGAGGGATGGGGGGGCATATTGCATATCACAAGGTTGACAGTCAGCGAAATGAATATTGCACGTGCATGGTATTCATATTTCAAGGGGTAGCACACAATCGTTTAATTTCTTTTCTCCAAATATTTCAAATATTTGAGGCATTTTCACCTAAGTTACCTAACTTACCATTTTTCCCTAGGATGACTGCTTTCTATTTAAGGAATTGGAGTTGTTTTGTTGAGAAGGAAAATTTCATCGGGGGAGTAAAGGAAGGACGGGAATTTTTTATTTAGTTCTTCAGATTGGGAAATGGTTTTAAATTTTAGGCTACTGGCTTTTGGTTGCTTGGAGGTTCCTCATGCCCGACCTCCGTTCGGAGATTGGCCACCTCTGCGAAAATGCGATAAAATTGCTTCCCTACCAGGGATCCAAAGAGTGGAGGGAAAAGGGACAACTTGACGGCCTGCAACCTGACAGGGACCGGGCTTTCCATTTGATATGGTAAATCTAAAATCTTTTGGAACAAGATTCTACTAACTTTTTCACTTTTGTATAGGCCCTCCTTGCAAAGATGGGACCTTGTTGAGGGAATTTGGCGGCCTCCACAAAATTCCTTAGCGAGGCTTGGTTTCCTCCTAAAATCAAGAGTTACTCCAGAAAATTAGGTTCCCTTCGTGGCTTTTCATGGGCGATATCCGCCGTGAGGTGGTAGTGCCTGAATTGTGAATTGGAAGAAGAATGAACTATAAGTTCTACGTAAAAGTAGAACTAAGTTCGACATACTGTTATGTTCTACGTAGAACATAAAAGGATATGGGTCTGAAACGTACGAGTACTACCGATGGAACTCTTCAATTGGATGGTAACAAATAATCTATGCGATTGTTTAGAAGTTATTGGCTCTGACATCGGGATACAAAGGTTACAAAAGGAAGCTCTCATTGAACTGCTCATATTTTAATTAAGAAAAACCATGAACATAATTACATAAGGTTACAGGAAGTAACCTGATCTAAGGACAAATTCAAACTCACAATGGTGACCTCGTCGTAATTGATTTTTTAGTTTATTAATTAATTCTTTATGAATTCACACAGTGAACTTAAACTTTCTAGGCAAAGAATTTGTCTTTTATACCACCTTGAAGGAGTTTCTAATGATCTGTCTCTTTATATAATTATATCGTAACAGAAAGTATTTGCATCACGGAAACATTCAGAACTGTTTCACACGGAGCTTGCAATAAGGCAATTACCATAAATCACGGTTTCCTCCATCACAAGGCGAAATAAAAGGATTGCCAAATTATTAAAAACGTTGCTAGACTCGAATAGTTAATTATCACACGAAATGTTTAAGACGTTTCCTCAACAACGCCGTAAACACGATTATGTTGCTATAATACATGATCTATTGTTGACAAGATGGATGACAGATCTAACAAGAAAGGTACTTATATAACGCACACATGCAGTCTAAACAAGTCAAACCGCGCAGTACTTGCAACAAGAACAATATCTGAAAGAACTCAGATATTCTTTAAAATGTCTTCAAAATGTGGAACTCGGGTTGAAGAAAAGTTTTCGTTTTTCAGCAAATCACGTCGAAAAACATCCCCGACACACACAAGCAAACGGCAACACAAGAAAATTGAACGTTCCAAGTCATTGCAGTCGTATGAAGAAGTGAGAGAAGTCGAGAGAGATTATGAGTTTGACGATTTATCCGTATGTCGTATACTCCATCGTAATAACTCCCTGCCAAATATTCCTTCAATTTGCGAAGCTGAAACAAATCAATCAAATCCTTGGTCGAGAAAATCGTGGTGTAAACGGTACAGTTTGAAACGTTCACAGAGCATGGAGTGGGACCCAATCAGTGCACTCTTCACAGCAGTAACTGAAGATGATTTGGTAGAACTTGAAAGAATATTGTTGGAATTTGAAATAAAACTGAACTTTTTGGGTCCAGCTGGGATATCCCTCCTACACACAGCCGCTTTAGTTGGCAGTACAAGAGCTCTGCAACTATTGCTAAACTCTGGCGCAGAAATTGACTTCCAGGACGCTAACAATCGAACAAGTTTGGAAATAGCTCTTCTTGCTGGAAACTTTGATTGTGCTTCATTATTAATAGAGAATGGTGCTTGTATGAGTAACATTGTTGATGGTATAAAGGTCTATTAGTTGATCTGATAATTTTTTATACACAGAATGTCATTTTAGTATTTGTAAATAATAGTTTTAGATATTAATTATAAATCTTCTAAATGAAATTGAAACTTGAGTGCCGATAATTTTCAAATTCCAGAATTGATTGGTTATAGCAAACGATTTCACTATATTCGAACAGAACTATAATAAAAATCTGAAATACCAAGATGAATACGGACGCGCATAAAAGCTATAAATACCCCATCCATGTAAATCCATGTAGACGAGTTTTAGATCATGCGCAATGGTGGTTATAATTTTCAAATTCTCATCGCAGGTCAAAACGACTGCTTAATTGGCCGAAAGTTTAACAGACCAATATATGTAGCTACATATAGTATATTTGAGAATTAACCACTATACTGTATATTATATGCGCAGGACCATGAAACTCGTCTATTCCGGCATTTCTTCCTGATGATCAAGCATTGATTGAAACGTTGAAATGTTTTTTTTTTCAATTTGCGTAGTTTGGCACGAAACATGTCAAGCTTCGAAAATATTCGTGTTAGGTCGTGGGAATATAAGACCTGGCATGTTTTCCGTGATCGTGGAATTAATCTTCTTTATTCTTTAATAGTATTTTGAAATTTAATTAGGGTATTTATATTTACTTTATTGATTCTTAATCCTTGTATTTTTTGTGTCTATATTGAAGAGCAAGAACTATATAGTATTGGTGATCATTAATTAGCCTAGTATGTATTTATTATTAAATTAATTAAAAGAGCAAAATATGTGAAGCTGCACAAAAGACAAACTATATATGTACTATTATCCATGCAGACATATAGTATCTTTATCATGCTCTATTTATAATGTATTAAATATGTATATAATATATAGCGGTCCGATACACATGATAAATGTTATGAAAGTGATTTAAACCTGGAAGATTTGTTTTCTTTTAATTTTTTCATCAAATTTACAGTATACATGAACGATTTAGACAAACAAGACGACATCATAATTCCACGGAAATCTGAACGTCAACTATAGTATATCAATGACATGCATGACCGCGCAATTAATGCGTAAACTGCGTACTTTTTCGTTCTCCACAGTTTTCCTAATGTATTGAATTACGCATTTCCCCCGCGCCCTTGTGTAAAATACAGAAAAATACCACCAATCATTTTTTCTTTTCACGGCAGAAAATAAAATAACGTGCATGTGCATGGGGGACGTATATATATATATATATATATATATATATATATACGCTCAACTTTTACAAATTCAGGTTTCACCTAACCAGAAGCAGTTGCAAAAAATGCAATTATATATATATATATATATATATATATATATATATATATATATATATATATATATATATATATATATATATATATATATATATATATATCCCTTTGCCTTTGGCTTAGTCATATTATTATTTGAAGTACGATATAAATTGTATGTTGACTTCTTGCATTTTGTGATGACCAAGATGTGTTCTAGAACAATAGTATATTATATGGTAATTGGTAAACAACATTTGATATTCCTTTCCTTCATCACGAGGGCCATATGACAATTTTCTGGAACCGACTAGTTGCATGCGGATGTTTTACAGTATCATTTACACACGACTGATACTGAATAATTATGCGGATGCCAAATGTGCTATTAAAATTCGTATATCCAACCTCTCAAGATCGGGTTCCGACATGTTAAAAGATGTGAATATACCGTATACGGTACGAATTGAATGTTATTTGCTGGGAAATAATATTTTTCACGAGAATCCCTTTCCGCCTGGCATTTCAATTGCTCAACAATGAGGTAACAGCTGCCAGTTATGGTCTAATAAGGCATCACGGTTTAATTTTTAATCCACTTATACTCGCCGAAAAAAAACGTGGGAATCGGATAATATGCACAAACGAGCGAAAGATATTTTGGGTTTGCGTATCTCTCATCCGCGTCATGACATATGTTTGCTCATACATCTTATTGAAAGTACTTCGACGTCCACGGCCTAGCTTACATTGTATACTGAAATTTTGAAATTTCGGGCGGCTGCGGTATATAGGAACCGGCCAAGTGGGGGGTGCAATCTGCTCTTGACTCTAGGACTAAGTTTTCTTCACTTCATATTAACTATGCTTCATCAAAGTGTCATTTTGATCCAGATTAAACAACTGGAAAAGTATACCCTGTCAGGATGAAAGTGCCCACATCTTCAATTGGTTCCTATATATACGCCTTGCATGGGCATGCAAGGCCTCATTTATTCTGATGGATGCAAAACCCGAGACTATAGCTATACAGGTATATCCTTAAGCTTAGCGTAAAGGGCATTATCGTATCCTTCACTGCATGCTGTGCAGAATATAGTGTCATCTCCCTCTTCAAACCCGAAATAGTAACTTAGTCATTTTGATATATTAAGTATTTCAAGCAAACGCTTTCCAAAATAATATGTTAGAAAGGTTGTTAATATTGGTTCTTTTATAGTTATAGACTTATTTATTTACAAATCATGCAGTATAGCCTAGCTAGAGTCATTATAAAATTAACTGTCTTTATTTGGCTGTTTTTTTTACGTTTACGTTAATTTGGTTCTATTTCATCATTAATTAAATTCAATTAGAACCTTCTAAACATATCACTTCGCATGCCCTTGTTGCTCTTGCGAATTACAGAATTATTCTATTAACGTTACTTGTTGTTGAGTCATGGAGTACCAAGAGGGTGTGAAAATCAAATATTTATTGAACATGGATACCATTAATGGTATAAAGATCACTCAATTAGATCTACTATATACTGAGCTATAATTAATAAAAACTGTCAGTATACGGAAACTTGTATGCCAAAATAATATTTATAGATTTTAAAGGTAGGGTAAGTTCGTATAGTAAACAAATAAACCTTTTGTTTACATTTCGGTATTCAAAATATTGAACTTTATTCGACAACTATTTATATTTTCATACTTCTACAGTATAATAAATTATCAAGATACAACAATCAGGCTTTGCAAGAACATAAAATGAAATAAAAACCTAAAGTGTTTATACCACGGCAGGAGACTCCTATGTGCGCACGCGCAGACCGGACTGTACCCTATCTTTAACCAATAACCATTTCTTCATCCATTTATTGTATCTCCATCCATTTATTGCATATAATCTATATTTAACGTTATTCTTTTTATGGTTTAAAGAATACAAAGAGATCTTTTATGCGAATAGGCTTCCACGCTGCTATGCAGGCTTTGATACGCCGCGGGATAGGGGAGCCTGCCCCCATGCAAGTTTTCTTCAATGTACTCTTTTCCCTAGCCTATAAAACAATGAGACAAGTGTCCTCCAACTTCAAGTTGCTTGCTGCATCCCGGCCCGCCATCGCCTATGCCCGATTCAGTAACTGTACAAATGATCTATATGGGTGCTTATTGCAGCTAATAATATTAACATTAAAATTTTCATTGCATAGTTGAATAAAATGAGTCATAAATAGGCTTATTTAATTATGCCCAGCCTAGACCTTTACTCAAATTATGCCCAGACAGGCCAGACTCTACGCCTGTAGCGTGTTTTTTTTACTATTAGACCGGAGTAATTTACTCCCCTCCCGAATTGCAATAATAGTACGAAAATTGGTCAAATAATTGGAAGTGCCGCAGATGTTTTGTCCAGGTTGTAGCTCTAGGCTTAATTTACCATAACCAAGATGATAATGCATTTTTAGAGCGAAATAAATATGGTAGGAGAACGAGTATTATTTATAACATGAAAAATATAAGGAGATTCATCATATTTTCTTATATTTTTCAGGTAGTTGCATCCCTACGAACGAAAGCTTGTTCATATTATTTATAACGTCTGGTCTCGGCATAATATAACAAATTAATATCCGGCAAAAGTTTTACGAATTTTTATATGTGTTTCTATTTTTATTTTAAGTAAACTCCCAATAGGTCTGGATAAGATTCGTACCTTTGCTGGAACGTTTTACACAATAAAGATTTGTTATTTATTTTCAAAGGCTGCAGTGTAAAAACTTCAGTTATGTCAAAATTGTTGCATGATCATCTCCACTAACATCTGGATTGTTATGAATGTGAAACGTAATTATCAAATTAAAACAATCCGATTTTCCAGAATAAGCTGAATTAGCACTTTGTCTGTCGTATTAGAATTTCACAAGAAAAAACAGACCTATACCAGTATATAATGCAGGATACTCAGGTTAATAATGCAGCAACAGAGTAGTTTAAATATTCATTAACCTCCAGTCCTCCACTATAATTACGTACCGGCATACAGTGGTGCTGTAGTGTAACTTCTAAGGGCCCTCCTGACGAAAGAAACAAATTAGCAATTATAATTATAAAGTCGGTAGGTACCCGCCCCACCCCCCTCCCCCCCAAAATAAGTCCCATTCTTCTATTAAGCCCCATTCTTAATAATAAGCCCCATTGTTCATAATAAGTCCCATCTTCAGTACAATGCAGAAGTTTGGGGTGTATATATCAAAAACGATTTTAACAATTGGGATAAACTGCCGGCTGAAAAAGTACACCTAAAATTCTGTAAGCTCTACTTGGGCGTTGGCAGAAAGACGAGTAATATCGCCTCAAGAAGCGAACTTGGAAAATATCCATTAATTATCAACGTATTCAAAAGAATCTTCAAGAATACGTCACTCATCTTAACTCACTCCCTGAAACAACTATTTCAAAACAAGCTTTCCTCATATCAAAAGATTTATTTATTAAAAAGAGCAGTTCTTTCTATGGAAAAGCAATATAGTGAAAACCCTAAATTTAGTAAATTGTAATAGAGCAACCCAGACCTAGATTCACTCACAACCAATCTAGTTGAATCAAGCGTTAAAGATACTAAAGAAAGCAGGGGCGGCGGAACAGGGGGGGGCTAGGGGGCTAAAGCCCCCCCAGAAGTAAAAGTGGGGGGGCTTAGCCCCCCCAGAAAATTTGAATTTTTCGAAAAAATTTTGAAAATTAGGGAAAAATTTAGGTTATTTTTTGAAAATTTAGGTATAAGGGGACAAATTTGCAATATTTTGTTTAAAAAAAGCGTATTTCCGAAAATTTTTTTTGATATAAGTCCGGAAAAATTTTTTTCGTCCCTTTTTTTGTATATTATACCCCTAAAGTGGTACACTGACCGAAATTTTTTTGGCGACGGGGGGGGGTGGGTGGGGGGGAGGTCGCCGAAAAAATTTAGCCCCCCCAGAACGAAATTCGTTCCGCCGCCCCTGAAAGAAAGCTACCAGAGAATCTGGAGACATAAACTTGAAAACTCATCCAAACTTATCTTTTACACAAGCGTAAAGGAAGACTATGAGCTTGAAACTTATTTGACTACCATAACTAACTCAAACCAAAGAAAACGTTTAACACAGCTCCGACTAAGTAACCATAAACTAATGATTGAACTCGGTAGATACGAAAATATTCCGCGAGAAGACCGAATATGCAAGGTCTGCCAGTCAGGAGAAATTGAAACGGAACATCACTTCCTAACTTCCTGTGAAGCCCATAGTAGTCTCCGAGAAAACTTTTTAAATGACTTGGGAAGTGATCCCACCAATGAAACAGATTTAAACGAACACAGTTTAGCAGTTGAGATAATGAAAACAACTGATAAAGAAACCGTGATAAAATTATAATTATCACAATTTATCTCTTTATGTTTTGAGAAGAGATCTAAATGCCTCGAAGCTCGGAAGTGCTGACAGTCAATAGGCTATCTAACTAAAACCCAAACTTCTTCATCTTCAATTACATATATACTGTAAATAGAGTACTCATTTGTAAACTAGGTCTTTCTTTATATCAACAACTTCATTTTTATTTCTTGTATTACTCCGGCAATACTGACAGTGTGTCATACTACCACAAAACATTTTGCATTTGTAAATATTTATAATTAACTAATAAGCTTTAGCGAACTTGTATGTAAAGTCATGCTAATAAAAGCCATTTGTTACTGTTACTGTTACTGAATGGTTGTTCAAGGGGGGGGGAGGGGACGTTTTCGATTAAAGCCTCAATGGTTAAAGTCGACGGCCCCTTAACAGCGGTTACTTTCATGATAGTTTCAGCTTTTTTTTACCTCCTAGCGCAATTACGAAATCCTTTCAGGCTTTCTAAATTAATCCTTCAAACGCTTCTGCAGAGGAAAGACTTTAGGTCACTCACAGTTATTTTAATAGATGGTTTGGAGACTCGATGAAAGTACAATATAACTCATTAACTATGTTATTGTCCAGCTTTATGCAAGAAATTGGTCCTATCTCGTCACGTGTGTATTGTATTTTCGCTCAAATAATCAATAACAAGTTTGTCGTTGAGTTATCCATCCGTAACTTGAACAAATGCTCAATTTAAACATTGCTATTGGTTGTGCGGGAAAAAATACAATACACACGTGACGAGATAGGCCCAAATTCTTGCATAAACCGAAACCAACTTACCAACATAGTTTATAATGAGTTATATTGTACTTTCATCGAGTCTCCAAACCATGTATTCTATTAACTGTGGGCCACTGAATGGGTTCAGCAAGCCCTGCTGTCATATTATGTAACAATCAGGGCAAATGAAACAAAAGGGAAAATTTTGTTCATAGTGGTGCATGATATGGTATCGCATCATTATATACACTGCTATTGTAAAATGATGGATAAGATGTCTGACTGTAATATTTAACTTTGGGCTCACACAGGGCCGCCGAGAGGGGGGGCAGGGGGGGCAAATTGCCCCGGGCCCCGAGTTGCTGGGGGCCCCTGAAAAATGTTTGTTGGGCCCCAGCCTTTTTTGTGTGTTAAATATTTCCGCGCAAAGGACAATATATCTGTTTTCTTGGGCTAAGTACCGAATTTTGGCATAAAAAAATGAGATAAAGTCCTTCGAAAGCAATTGCAACGTACTCGTCCGGAAAAATTTTGTACTCCGGAAAAAATTTTTTACCCCTAAAATGGTACACTGATCGAATTTTTTTTTTTGGGGGGAGGGGTTGTTCTGGGAAAAATTTTTCCGGGAAAAATTTTTTAGATAGGGCCCCTAAAAAAAAATTTGCCCCGGGCCCCCGCCAACCTCTCGGCGGCCCTGGGCTCACAGTAATTGGCTAATCGCGCTGTTGCGGTCACCCTGCCAAAAATAATAGACAGGTTCAGATTCAACTTCCACTACCGCTACCTTTGACGGCTCCATTGGTAGCGGTCGCGACGGACTGTTTAGACCTGTTCAGATTAGACTTCTCCCGACGACCATAAATCGCTTTGTTAAGGTACGTTTACACGCTGCGATTTGTCGGGCCGATTTTGAAAAAAAATCGATGTCCCTTCTTCGACATTTAGCGATTTAAACGTTCAATTGAAGCTGTCCGCTCTCTCGTCTGTTCATATTATAGTTTTCTGCGTGCGAAAAGTTTTCAACAACTTTACAACGGAAGAAAAATCGTTGAATCGTGAGAAAATCTGTGGTTTTGTTACAGATTTTTCTCCCGATTTTGTGAATCGCAAGGTGCTGACGCGAGTACTCACGACAGGTTATTTACATACAGCGAGCAAAATCGGCCCGACAAATCGCAGCGTGTAAACGTACCTTTACGGTCCCAAAACAAAAACATGCGACGATTTCCTCACGCTCTTGCAGTTACTGCGCATGCGTAACACATTTAAGGTAGCGGTAGTGGTAGTGGAAGTCAAATCTGAACCTGTCTAATATACGACGCACGCCGTCGCATTTAATTCGTTCAATATATAGTATATAATATATGTTCAGTTAAGATATATATAATTCTATATATAGGATTCTTCAAATGAGCAGTGGCGCAACGGAGGAAGAGGGGGTCCTTAGCTACACATTTGGTGTGGGGACCCCTGTTGACTGTTTTCATTGTTTGACTGAGATATTACATTTATATTGAATATTTATAGAATGTTCTGGAAAATTCCGTGCCTATAACTACAATTTCTCCAACACATGTAATAACTAATAAGATTTATTATTTAGCATTATTAATTTTGCATTTTCCCATTGATTCTTAACCTGCATTTTTTACGTTTACTAATTTTCTAACTCCGCGGGGCCCTTAGTTTTTGAACTAACCCTACCCAATCAGCGTTACGCCACTGAATGAAAAACCTTCCAGATTTAATCTGCTTACTCTGGCCCTCAGTTGATATAAACAATTGTTCGTTGCTTGCGTCATCGTACAATAGTGTGCGTCAGCTTTATGTTTTAATAGCACGTTTTCCATATTAGCCGGCATCTTCAAAGTACTTTATTGCCTAAGCCTAACAAGGGATACGCACATTCTAGGAAATCAGCTTAATTAATAAATACATTGTAAGCTTAAACAAACAAAAGATTAATGTAGTTATAAACGTCTCTTGCAATGTTATAAAATTTTAAAATATTTAAGCAAAGGCGTCCCCTTCTTTCAACGACACTGTTATGATGTCCTTTTATTGAATACTCTGTCAAAACTTTCAGACATATAGTCGTTTAACAGACAGAGTTCATATCTAACGCGATATGACGGCTTACACGATAAAATGCAGTATCATTTAGAGTTTAGTTAGCATGCGTGTCATGACAACAATATCAAACATGAAGATGAAGCATGTGAATAATTCCACATATCCTTCACTGATCTCCAACACTGACGATGTTTGTATTCTGAATATTAAGAAATGGAATGTTAGTATTTACATTGGCAAGAAATTTCAAGAAATGTGTAACCAACACCGCGGAAAAACGTCTGCGCATGCGTCAACCTTACCTGTAATAGTATTGCGAACTTGATGAGAAGCTGTTCCGAACGTTTCCGAAGGCTCAAAATGGCGGTAAAAAGGAGTGACTTCATTGTGCGTCTTTACAGCCAGATTTCGAGCGCGAAAATAAACATATCATTCTAAAAACTAGGAATAAATACAGCCAGAAGGTTCAAGAAATTGTATTGTACAAGAACATGAACTAAAGGTGATTGTTGACAAATTTATCGTCTGAAACATTTTGCTTATCAACTAAGCAACGACAATTTTCGAATTTTCGTTTGAGATACATTTCTTTAAAAAAAAACTATGTCGCCAAATATAAAAAATTTTCGTGTTCACAATAATTAAACTATAGGATTTATTCTACAATTTGAGTGGGTTAAGAAGCTTAACTTTTCGAGAGTTTTCTTAACTTTTTAGTTTGAATTTTTGTTTTGAATAATTTTGCAAAAATTTTCGAAGTCGTGTCCGTTAAAATCAACAATTTTTACATGAATTATATTTCATTCCATACTTTAAATGCCAGGACGCTTTCAATTAATGTCTAGTCTACCCATTTGCTATATTTTCTCGTTTGTTTTACTAATTTTTGACCAATTAATAAGCATGTTTTTGTTTTAGAAATTGATATTCAAATTACCCGCCATATTTTCATAATTTGGTGCATGCGCAGACGTTTTTCCGCGGTGTTTGTGTAACCTGTTCCGCAGTTTTCCGCTGCGCACTTTTATTGCGCGCACTCACTATTTCAACTGTTATATGACTGTCACCACTTTTCTCACAAAAAAGACATGGGGACAGTGTATCCCCCTTTAGTATCCGCCCTGCATGGTTCGTGTTTGCAAGCTTAAACCAGTATTCCACTGGACGCGAATTCTCACGCGAAGCGAAAACATGAACTCGGCAGTGTGATTGGCTAAAAAGTTGGAACCGGTACATTGTCGAATTCACGTTTTCGCTTCGCGCAAACAAATTTGCCTATAGTGGAAAATCGACCTTAGATAAACTTGCCACGCAACACACACGTTTGGTTAATCTTCACTACATGCCGAAAATCATGTTCATGATATTACTATGCTTTATCATGAACATGATTTTCGACATGTTATAATATACCCCGCCCACTCACACAAACACACACACACAAATTGGCCAACTGAGAGTCCACAGCTATCTTAAACTTGTGACATTATAAGTAAATAAATAATACGAATAAATAACGGTGGCGTTTTCCACAAACAACCAAGTAATTATAAAACTCAAATTGCTGACATTCGTTTAATTCTTGCAACTGTAAGTCTGTGAAGGATATTGTTACAGTCGTGCCAATAGAAGCGTTCCGAAAAATGTTGATCAATTCATTTCCTAACTTCGAGGAGTTCCTCTGAACAATTCCTCAACAATTTGATAAGTTCCTTAAAAAGTTCCTAACTTCCTGTTGGCATTGACCAATCAGATTTTATATTTTATTTTTGAGCAATCTGATTGGTCAATGAAACAGGAAGTTAGGAACTTATCAAATTGTTGAGGAATTGTTGAGAGGAACTCCTCGAAGTTAGGAAATGAATTGATCAACATTTTTCGGAACGCTTCTATTTAATTGGCACAACTGTAAGATAATGCGATCTTGTCATAAGTTTGAGAAAATACAAAACAACGGTAACTTTCGACTATGTTTTAGCCATCATCAGGAATGATGCTACAATCCTGGCAAAAATTATTGTGGACAGCGCGCGTGGAATTACTTTACGGCTGGCATTGACAGGTTCGGTCAAATTTGGGCGAGCATTGGAAAGTATGACATGCAGAAGCAACGTTGCTTTTATTTCGACTACAATATTAAAACATTCCTCTGTGCCCTTTTTTACTATTAGACTGGAGTAATTTACTCCCCTCCTGAATTGCGATAGTAGTACGAAAATTGGTCAAATAATTGGAAGTACCGCAGATGTTTTGTCCAGGTTGTAGCTTTAGGCTGAATTTACCATAACCAAGATGATAATGCATTTTTAGAGCGAAATAAATATGGTAGGAGAACGAGTATTGTTTATAACGTCTGGTATCAATATATAACCAATTACAGGTAAACTACGTGAAGCGTTCTTCTTTTGACTTCCTAACTCATTTGGAATTTTCCTCATTGGCTTTGCAAATCCCTCGAGGGAATTTGCGATGTTCCTATCGGCTGTTGCAATATTCCAATGCAAAAAAACTTCATTTTAAATTTTCCTAACTTCCTGGTTTTAATTTCCTGACTTCCTGTTCTGTTCTGTTCTGTTCTGTTCTGTTCTGCTCTGTTCTGTTCTGTTCTGTTCTGTTCTGTTCTGTTCTGTTCTGTTCTGTTCTGTTCTGTTCTGTTCTGTTCTGAGCGTTGTCAATGGTGGATTATTTTTGTTAGCCAATTGCAACGCGCAGAGCAGGACGTTAGGAACTTGTAACGGGAAGTTAAGAACTTCTAACAGGAACTGAGGAAAATATAATCGGCTTTTAGCAACATTGCAAATTCCCTCAAGGGATTTGCAAGGGAGTTTTCTAAATTGCGAAGGTAATGAGAAAAATTGCAATCAATTTAGAAACTCAAATACATCCAGCAAAAATTTTATCATGAATTTTTATGTGTGTTTTCTATTTTTATTTTAAGTAAAATTCCTAATTGGGCTGGATAAGATTTGTACCTTTTACACAATAAAGATTTGTTATTTATTTTCAAAGGCTGCAGTGTAAAAACTTCAGTTATGTCAAAATTGTTGCATGATCATCTCCACTAACATCTGGATTGTTATGAATGTGGAACGTAATTATCAAATTAAAACAATCTGATTTTCCAGAATAAGCTTATATTATCACTTTTGGCTCCATAACAGCGGTTAATTTCATCTTTTTTTTACCTCCTAGCGCAATTACGAAATTCTTTCCAAATTAATCCTCCAAACGCTTCAACCTCGGTCCCAGGGACCGAGGGTGCAAACGCTTCTGCGGAGGAATGATGTTAGGCCCATAGAGATTATAAATAACACTAGAGGAGGCATTGTAATCTTAATTCAGTAAAAAAAAAGGGAACGCGACTATTGGGGGGCAAATTCAAGTCCCGGATGTGTATTCGTGTTCCCATTGGTGACGAGTTTCAAATCAGCCAATGAGAGCACGATTTTATATCCGGGACTTGAATTTGCCCCCCATTAGCTGCGTTCCCAGTTTTTAAACTCGATGCCTCCTCTAGTGTTATTTATAATCTCTATGGTTAGGCCATTGCATGGGTTCAGCCAGCCTGCTGTCATATTACGTAACAATCAGGGCAAATGAAACAAAAGGAGGCAAGGACGTCCCCATCTTTCATGATGTCCTTTTATTGAATACTTTGTCAAACTTTCAGACATGGCTAAAGGGTATGGACGAGAGGTAGGTGACCGTGAGACGACTAGGTCTATTTGCTTGTTTATTACGTGTTCGTGGTACACGCGAGAACAACTCGTGTACCACGAACACGAAATAAACACGCAACTGACCCGATCTTCTCACGGTCACCTACCTCTCATGTTTGGTAGTTGGTTGATTATAACAATGCACGAAACATAATCAAACTATATACAAAACGTATCCATTTTCTAAAGAACGAATCACTTTTCACAAAACATGTTCATTTTAGCTTCGCGTTTACTGTAAATTTGTCCTGCAAGATGCTCGTAGTACTGTAAGTTACAAGATTAGTCAGATCTATAATTAGTTTTAATTATGAGCGGAAAACCAGTCCAGTCTTGGCAAAAAATCATCAGAAAAAAATCATTATAGGATTGCCCATATCATATTAATAACGTTTTAAAGGCATACTAAATTGAAATAAAGTGAATACATCCTAACTATATTATAATATAAACCTTCTAAATATATATAGATATATATATATATATATATATATATATATATATATATATATATATATATATATATATATATATATATATATATATATATATATATATATATATATATATATATATATATATATATATATATATATATATATATTTTTT